TACCATCGACATCTTCTAATGACGTAATCGCATTCCAGCAGAATAGAATACCAAAACTCACAGCACGAGTAGAAGCGATCGGTGACATTCCTACTGACTTACTACCGAAGAAGGAAGACCTTTCGCATAGAATCGATGACGTCAATAAGAAATTAGACGATCAAGTGAATGATCTGAAACGGTTCGAAGATAAGACCATCGAACTACAAAATGTTGTCGATGAGTGTCGTGGCAAGATGAAGAAGCTAGAACTACCTGAAACGATCGAAACTGCTCAGAAAGACGCTGAAGATCTGTCAGCGGTTCTGGCAACAATCGAGGCTATTCCACAGGAAGAACTATCGCCTAGAAATCAACTGGCTCGTGACGCAAACACTATCAAGGAACAGGCAAAGGTAATTTCTTTTTGTACTAGTTTTTATTGATTTATTTTCTATTGGTAGTGGGATACGCATTTTTGGATGGATACATTTTAGGAGCAACTTTCAACATTGCGAAAAGCTCTTACCGATGAAGAAAAGGCTCGTGAAAGACAGGATGAACTTAAGAACAGATTGTCAGCTATTGCTGATAGCCTGAACAAGATTGATCCAGAGAATGTCGAGTCTGCTCAGCAGCTGGTCTCAAGCCTTGAGCCTGAGCTCCAGAAACTAGCTGGCATCGCTGACACATGTAATCAATTCGCGAACACTTCATCTCCTGTTGTGAGCCACGATGATCTCGACAAAACGCTTCCTGATCAAGTACAGGATCTGCAGAAGAAGTGCGAAGATGTGAAGACAAAGGCTGAACAACTAGCACAGTTGAACGCCGTTGCACCCGAAATCTTATTGATCTCGGAAAGTTTGCAACAGCAACCAGAAGAGATCCCATCAAATCTTAACGAACAACAATCTGTGCTTGAAGATCTTGAATCGAAGAAGCAACGCCTCGAAAACCTCTTGCAGACCATACCAGCCGGTGATGCAACAGAGGAATTGAGACAAAAGAGCGCATGGGATTTGTCAAGACTGAAAGACCTTCTGAAGAGGCTTGG